CTTAAGTTAAGAGATTATTGATGTTTATGGAAATTAGTATCAAAATATTGCTTTATATTATCAATATGATATGTAATTGATATTAATATTACAATTACTAAAACAATTCTACATCGTTAATCAAATTTTTATAGTTTTTCTTTATCAGAATATATCATTATACCTCTTCCTCTGTATCATTTTTACAGAATGGAACGATATGCATTTTCATATCTGTTCTTCCAAAAGAAACATTTTAAAGAAATAAACATTTTTCAATGCTCATCATTTGCTATTACATATATTATAACTTACAAGGTTATAATAATACTTTATATCCTCAAATTATTGGTTATTATATAAGAATATTAATAGTGTAAAACTGAAATATTTAATAAATATTGTTTACTATAATTTTTATAATATTAAAATTATTTACAATCGTATTTATATTGATGTTATTATCATGTATATTTATGAATTTATTTTTATTTGTATACAAATAGATTTTATGTATTATTCTAATTATATTTCTAGAAATTATTAATAGAAAATGCAAAAGAAATATAATAAGATTAATGGCTGAATACATATATTTCTTTAAAATATATGTGTTATAATTGTTATAACAATAATTATTTTCTCTGAATACGAAATAGCGTCCAAATGGACCGCAGCCATCGAAAAGAGATCGACATGCATTAAAAAATATAACAAGCAAGATATTTGCTAGAGTGATAGAGGATAAAAAATGCAAAATTGGAATCAATGGCAATTACCAACTGGTGCCATTACTACTTCAATGCCACAACCACCGGTTGGTTATACTGCACCAGGGGCAGATCCAATGGCTATGATGCAAGCTTATATGCAGTATTATAATCAACCAGTAAGTATACAATATATAAGAAAATGAAATGTTATGGAAATGCATGATATATCTTGATTGTATGATTTTTCTTATAAAAACAAGTCCACAATGTTATGTAGATTTTGTTTATATTTTTCAGGCACCCAGTGGATATACAGCTGAACAATGGGCTGCTGCTCAACAACAAAATTGGACACAATGGCAACAGTGGCAACAACAATATCAACAATGGCAGGCACAATATGGAGAAAAGGTATGTAAAATATAGATTCATATTTTTTATTAAATACTATTTATTTTAAGAATTATTTGTCGTTATATCATAGAATATTTCTCTTTCAGTACCAAGAAACTATGAAGCAGATGTCGTCGCAAAATATGAATTTATCTGGCCATGCACCACCTTTACCAACTATGCCACCACTTCCTAAAGAGGATTTTAAACCCCCTTTACCTCCGAATACTGTTAATACATATCAATTCACAAATATCCCCCCTCCACATCAAAACAATCTTCCACTATTTCCTGCTAAGCAACCTGTAAGTAGTGCAGCTTCACAATTAAATGTAAATTCTTCTCAAAATCCACCTCTACCTCCAACTCAACCACCATTGCCTCTGGAGAGTGCTCAGAATAATGACAGTAATTCTGCTACAAAACGCAGTAGTAATGCTGTTAGTGAATCCTGTAGTGCCAAAAAGTTAAAACTTGAAGATGAAGAATTAACTGAGGCTGAAAAAACATTTGACGCTCAGTTTAAGCAGTGGGAAGAACAGTTTAACAAGTGGAAGCAACAAAATGCAAATCATCCTGATAAGGTAGGTGATATATTGATTCTATATTGCAAATATATAATACATAGAATAATATATTAATGAATCTTCAGAGCAACAGCCAAAGATAGGTATTTCTATCTATTTATAAAGCTACTGTAATATAAACAAACAAATAAAAAAAAATATTAGTAAATATTAAAATTATCCATTTTAGACGCATTATAAAATATACGAAGCAAAATGGACATCTTGGCGGGAGAAACTTATTGAACGTAGAGAACAAATGCGTAAGAAGCGTGAACAACAAAAACAAACAACTGCTAAAGCAGATCCTGAAAAAAATAAGAATCTACCTGGAGGGGACAAGATAATGAATATTTTATCAAGTACAGAGAATCAAGGATTAATTAACAATCTCTTAGGTATTGGGAAAACCCTTGGCTTAACAGGGAAACAAAATACAGGAACACTTCCACCGCCGCCTCCTCCACCTCAGACAACAAGCAATATTTCATCTACAACAGTTACACCTGCAATAACTTCACAACAATCAACATCTCAGCCATTGAATTCGGACACAGTGTCATCTTGGAATGCCCAACAAGCTGCACAGTGGGCGGCTCAATTTAATTCTGGAATGCAAAACTATAATAGTTTTCACGGTAACTCTGGATCGACTCAACCATCTTTTGGAACATCTCTAAATTCAACGCATCCTCCAAATTTCGCACTACCACCACCTAATGTGCCAAATGTTGGACCAAATTTTTTACAACCACCACCAGGTTTTAATAATAACGACGGAAGACAATTACCGGATGCAAGCGTAAGACAAAATTTACAGGACAGATCGTCATATGGTTCAAGTGGAAATAATTTGAATATGTTTGGTGCTAATGAAAGAGCAAATTCCGAAATAAATCGTTTTGGATCAAATGAACCTTTAACTTTACCTGATTACTCAGGTAATTTTGATACAACTGATAATACCAATAACGAACGTATGAATAATAGAAAAGGACAATTAGGCACTGGTCCAGAATATTTTAGGCGAGAAATATTAGATAAAAATTTATCCGAACATGATCAATTCAGATCAGATGGCTCATTTAATTATGGTAATGCGAGATTCGGTAGAGGAGAAGAAAATTATAAATCGATAGATGGAACAGAAATTGATGGAAAACTTTATAAACCAGAAGATAGAAATTATATGGAACGTGGTAATAATCAATTTAATGATCAAAATAGTTTTAATTCAGTTAATAGTTTAAACAATGATCATTTTAATATTGATCGTACTGGTCCTGGACCAGGTGATCGTTTTGTAGGAAGTGGGGATCGGTTTGGAGCTGGTAGTGATCGTTTTGGAAATTCAAATGATCGTTATAATGATCGATTTGGATCAGGAGATGATCGATTTATTGATCGATTTGGATCAAGAGATCGATTTGGATCAAATAATGTTCGATTTGGATCTAGTAGTGATAGATTTGGATCACTTGATCGTTTTGGTTCAAGTAACGATCGTTTCACTTCAAGAAATGAAAGATTTGGTCAAGGAAATGGATTAGAATGCGATAGATTCGGACCAGGCTTTGATCGTTTTGGTGTATCTAGTGATAATGTTGGCCCTGGAAACAATAGATTTGGAAGAAATATTATGGATCACTATGAAGGAAACGAAGGAATAGATAGCACGAGAGATAGTAATAATTCTCGAAACTTTGACAGAAATAATCAATTTGGACCTACCGATGAATTGGCACCAGAGTTAAAAAAACTTATGGAAAAAAGAAGAGCTGCTATGGATGTATTCAAGCCTAGCTTTCATGATACCGATAAAAGTGTTAATGTTGGATCTTTACGTGAGAGTTTTAAAAAAATTGCTGGTGATTCACCTTTTATATCAAAAAGTTCCACTGATTTTGGACAAAGGGATTATGTAGGATCAAGAGGAATGGCAGTTTCTAGTCCTCGATTTCCAGGAAATTTTGGACCACAAAATAATCCTAGATCATTCGGACCACGCGGCCCTAATGAGTTTAAATCACATGGTAATTTCGAATTTCGATTACGCGCTCATACTAATTTCAGTCCACGTGACAATTTCTTTGATTCTCATGATCCTGGTGGTCCATTTCTCAGAGAATCCAACACTAATTTCTCTAAATTTGATAAAAATCATTCTATGTTTGGTTCTGTGGATGTCGATCAACGAATTGAACAACAATTTGACAGAGGAGATCCTAAATTACAACAAACTAAAGATACACAAAATAGTGGATCATCGGACAATATTGTACCTGCAAATACAGATAATATACTTACAGAGAAAAGATCAGATATTCCTGTTAATAAAAATGAAATGGATAATGTAGTAAAAGCAGAAGAAGTATCACAGGCAGAAAAAATAGGAGAAGAATCATCAAATAATATTGCGGATGCACAATCGAATGCTCAAGAAGACAAAGCTACACGTTCGAATGTACCGCCATTAGAAAAACCACCTTGGATGGATGCATCATTTCCTGATGTTAATTTATCTGAAAAAGATATTAATAACACGGAATGTAACAATAATCCACCTGCAAATTTTGTTGTTGCCTCTACAGAAGAAAATAATGAAAAAGCTGATGATAGAATACAAACAGATTTGGATAAAAAATTGGAGTCGGATGCTCCAGATAATGAGCAAGTCAAAAAATCTGAAGTTTTACCATTTATGGGTGAAAATGATCCAAAACCGGAAGACTTAAATATGGAACCTCCACCAGAATTACCTAATTTAGGAACAATAACGGACGATTTGAATAACGATAATAATACATTTGCTAATAATCAAAAAATTAAAGAGCCTTTCGGTGCAGATCGTAATTTTTCTGGAGAATTTGAACGTAATGCAAAATATTTTGATCCTAAAAATACTTTTAGTCCTAGAGGACCTAATGATGGAAGATTTATACAACAACCTCATACACCTAATAATGGACAATTTTCTTCATTAGGATCAAACGATATACGATTCAGATCTCGAGCATCCAGTGACGGACAGTTTGGTTTTCGTGGATCTAATAATAGAAATTATGGGCCATGGAGAACGAATGAAATGCCATGTGATAATAGAGGATTTACTGACACACAATTTGCTCCTAGAGGACCTATTGATAGATTGTCTGGTATTACAAATATTAATGAAAGAAATTTCAATAATAGAAGATCTATGGATGGGCCATTCGATAATCAATGTTCAAATGATGGACCTTTTACTTCTGGTTATAATGATGGACAATTTTCACATCACAATCAGCAAGATAGAATGCTTGGTTCTCGAAGTTTTGCAGAAAGACATTTTGATATACGTAATGCAGGATCAAATAGTAAACCTTTTGGATCTCGTGGACCATTTGAAGATCCTTTTGAATCTCAAGGTTTAAATAATGAAGCAGCAGGTACACGTAATTATAATGACAGATTATGTAGCAATAGATCACCTTTTGCCAACAGAGCTTTTGGATCGGATGGAGCACTTGATAGTGCTAATAATGATATTTTTAAAGACAAATTTAATGAAAATTATTTAGATAGGAAACTTGATATAGGTATTACTGATACCGGAGGTAGCGTAGGTTCAAAATTAAACTGTGAATTGGGTAAAGTGAATAAATCTGACGGTAAAACATCATTCTTCCAAAGCAATTTTAGCGACAACACTTCTAGATTGCAATATGGATCTGATTGTACTGTTAATCTTCCACCTCATGAATTCAAAAGTAATATTCATAGTCAAGTATCCCCCTTTGATAAGAAAATTACTGAAAAATCTTGTATAGAATCAAATGTTGGAGATTCTAGAATAGGGTATGGAGATATTTCTGGAGGATTAGATTATAAGTATACTAATTCTCCTTTCATGAAACGATCTATTGATAATCATCAATCTTATATGAGAGGTGTACCCAATAAAGAATTCTGTATAGAAAGACAGTTTAATTATAATCATGGTGGTGCCACAAAAGATAAAAAATATATCGAGCATGTACCTGTAAAAGTAATCGATTATGCTCATGCCCCTCGTACCATAATGCAAGAACATTTAACTCCTGTTCAATGTTTCGATTATGGACATGGAAAACTAAAGCCTGTTGTACCGGATCATGAATTGATACCGCAAAGAGACTTTAGAAATTGGGAAGAAAGCGAGCAGAACTTGAAAGAATATGCAGAAAAAATGAAAAAATATGAGAATTCAATGATGAAACATGAACACAGGCGAAATACAAACATAAATGAGACGAGAGAAAGCGATTGGATAGTAAATATTAGAAAATATGAACGAGAAAAGAGAAATACGGATGACATGCAAAAAGATAGAGAATGTTCTCAAGAAGAAAGAGTTTATACTAATACTTCTGATAAAGAAAGAGATGAATGTATCCAAAGTGATAATAAAATAAATGATAAAGGTAAATTAGATTATATAATAACATTTAAAATTATATATGATACTATAATAAATTTTCTTTTAATTAATCTCAATTCATTTTTACAATCCATTTCTATGATATTTAATTTCTGTATTGAATTAATGAAAGAAAATACAAATTATTGTCAATCTATTAAAAAAAAAAAAAAAAAAAAATACCAAAAAAAAAGCAATGGTAAATGACGACAATAAAATGTTTAATAATAATATATAATTTTTCATCTATATTTTTCTTGGCCACAGATAGAGGTCATGAGAGATGCGAACGGGTTCAAACAGATATAAACAAAGAGAATGACAGAGACAATGACAGGTAATATGTTATTAAGCGTGTCAAAATAATATGTGGAAATAGTAAATTTGAAAACATTATATTGTCATTACTAGTCCACATGCACTATTGTTATTAGAATATCATTTATATGATCAGATAGTTCTATATCTATCCCTATATACACTTGCATATGAACTAGTAATATTGTACATTTATATTTTATGAATATTAGCGTGTCTTCAAGACATTTAACTTTCTTTAGATCAAAAGGACGTACTAACTGGCAAGAAAACTCAAACAAGAACACTGTAGAGACAAAATCGTCAAATACCAGGTATGTTAATTCAATATAAAATAAAATTGAACAATTTATTTCAATCTCTAGGATATTAAACAATGGATACTTCACAGATTTTCAATATTTGTAAATGTAAAAAAATTACATACATATATACACAATTAACCTTCTACCTCACATAATTTTAAGATGATCTAAACATTCTTATCATATATTCTTACCTTTGCAAAACTTTTATTATTATAGTTCATCCAACAAGTCGAGTCAGTAGAGGTAAGCAAATATCCGCATGCCAACGTACGTGGCGGATGTAAAAGACTTCAGTTATTGGCAGGTAAACAAAAGTTAATTGTTGAATTCAGGAACGAATTTACATGGGTCATTGTTAGGTTTTACTTTTACTCTAGCGATAATTTTATACCCATTTCAATAATCCCGCTCGATAAGTTTTATAATATCTGAAGATTGTGAATAGGCTCCTGTTCCAATCACGTACGTTTGTTTATCTCTACTAACTCGACTCGTTAGGCGGACTGTAAAATTATATTTATCATATTATTCAGCTTGAAAATTTAAATATGTGGATATATATATATATATATATATATATATATATATATATATATCTTTTATACTATTCAAATAAGTACCTTAAGACATGGCAAATTTTTGCTACTTCAACAAAATTAATATTTGATAAGTTTATGTAAAAATTTAAACCAAAGAATATGTATCTGTCCTTTTTTTTTTGTTTTTTAATTTGGACACTCCATCCGAACCTTTTATCACGGTGTGAGATAGTTCAAGAATATCTTTTTGAAGTTCTGGAAAATATCCATAATACATAGAGTTGCATAATTTTTATGCATACAAATTTTATATTTTATGTTTTTATTTATGTTATGAAGTGAAAACGCGCGTAAATTCGTTATGGATAACGATACGTTGCAATAAATCTTGCAGCTCTTTTCGTGTGGATATAACAATCGCATTTTGATTTATACTACAATGATTTTTATTAAACAATTTAAAACAAATACGCTCCATTATGGCTTGCTGAATTTGTAAGCTTACTAAACTGTACTGTCTTGAAGCTCTAAAAATATTTCTATATTAACAAGGATTTAATTTCTTTTAAACATTTATTATTTGCATAAAAAGTAATTACACAAAAAGAAATATGATGTTTATCACATTAATTTAGTATTGATTGACTTTCATTCAAAATTTATTATTAACAACAAATGTGTATAATTTTACACAATGAAATAGTTAATGATATATTCTGAATGCAAATTATATATTTAATATTGTAACATACGATTATTACATACAATGCTGAAAATCAAAATTTCATTAATTTCATTTTTCTATTTGGTTTTCATCTTTGTATGTTTTGATACTTAAGTTGCAATGATAATTTAAATCTAAATTATTTTGACAAATTTCATATCTATTATTTTTGTATATTAACTTTACATGGAATTTAATTTTCCAATGAAAATGTTCTAATTATGTGAATTACAACACAATACTTTATCAGGTGGATCACACCACAAAACTTAAATAATATTATTTCATGAAGATTAAACAATAAGATGTTAAAAATGCATATAAAAAATATGTTAAATCATCCAAATATTTTGGATTACATTAAGACTTACACACTTTGAGATTTTCTTCTGATTTTCATACAAACATTATTATACTTAAGACTGACATTTAATATTCAAACTATATGTATATATATTTATATTTTTTCAATGTTGGGTTTTAAACAAATATTTATATTATATATACATGTTATAATCACGTTATCATTTTCTGTTATATATGTAGATCAAAATACAATGAGTATTATAGTATGATATATTTTAATGTCTACAAATTTTTTGTTACAGCTTTACAGATAAACAGCAAAATGTATCAGAATTACCATCTAAAACCTTGGAATTGGCGAAAACGGCAAATTGTACAATGGTGGATGATCTACTGTGTCCTCCAGGTCGTCAAAATAGACCATCTAAAATAGCAATTATTTTAAGAGGGCCACCTGGTAGTGGAAAATCATTCGTAGCAAAATTAATTAAGGTATAATTTAAACTAAACTTTCATTTTTAATTTTTTATGTCGTCAATTATGAAAATGAATACGAATGAATATGTACAATTATTTATTTATTATCATATTTTCATACAGGACAAGGAAGTTGAACAAGGAGGCTCTGCTCCAAGAATATTGAGCCTTGATGATTATTTCCTTGTTGAAAAGGAAATAGAAACAAAAGATGACAATGGGAAGAAAGTGATAGTGAAGGTATTGTATTTAATATGTATGATATTGTATGCATATTTCTAACTTTTATTTTAATTTTTTAGGAAATGGTTTATGAATATGAAGAAGCAATGGAACCAAGTTATATAGCGTCTCTTGTGAAAGCATTCAAAAAAAATATTACAGATGGCTTCTTCAATTTTATTATATTAGATTGTATCAATGAAAAAATATCAGATTACGAAGATATGTGGAGTTTTGCAAAAAGTAAAGGATTTAAGGTACATAAAATAAATAAAATCAAACATATTTAAGCAAGCCATATTATTTAACTAAACTTTTTAAATTTAACAGATTTCTTTTTAACAATATTGTTTAAAGTTTATTTTCAATATGTGATGTATAGGTATATGTATGTGAAATGGAAATGGATGTACAAATCTGTTTAAAGAGAAATATTCATAATCGTTCTGAAGATGAAATTAATAGAATTGTGGATTATTTTGAACCTACACCAAGTTATCATCAAAAATTAGATGTAAATTCGATGTTACAAGAACAAGCAATCGAAGAAGTATTATCAATTGATTAAAATATTCATTGTGAATATTAATTGAATTTATATATTATTTCATGAACTCTTCATTATAGGTACAAATGGAAGATAGTCAAGAAACATCAGATAAAGTATTACAATCAAATGAAGAAAGTCAAGATAGTCAGGATGATGCTCCAGAAATTATTGTAAATTTATAATATTTCTTTAATAATTTTATTTAAAATTTAATTCAATTATCTCTTATATACGTGTATTTCAATAAATATATTATATACTATCATATAAATACATATATATATATATACATTACTTTTTAGGGTATTAGTAAATGGGAACGAATGGAAGCGGAAGATAAATTAGGTTCGTTAAAAATAATATTCTTTAATTGATATCTATTGCTTAAAAGTGATTTTGAATCAATATATTATATAAATGTATTTTTGTCAAAATTATATTTATAGATCGCTTAGATGGTTTAGCAAAAAAGAAAAATGAAGGGAAACCACAAACAATGGAAGATTTTTTACAAGTCCCTGATTATTATAATATGGAAGATACTTCTGGAAAGAAGAGGGTATGCAAAAGAGATATTCTTTCTATAATAATTTATATTCAATAAATTTTCTGCAAATTAAATTAAATAATTATAATAATTATGTTATAAACGATTGGTAGGACTGTTTAACGTTATAGGTGAGATGGGCAGATTTGGAGGAACGTAAACAACAAGAAAAGATGCGAGCTGTAGGTTTTGTTGTTGGACATACAAATTGGGATCGTATGATGGATCCAACAAAAGGTGGAAGTGCTCTAACACGTACCAAGTATATATGACGCTAAATTAATTTTAGATTATTAAATATAACGATGAAATTAAGGGGGAAAAAAAAGAAAGAAAGAAAGAAAGAAAAAAAGAAAGAAAGAAAGAAAAAAAGAAAGAAAGAAAGAAAAAAACTTATTTCTTTAAGAACAAAGTGGTGTATTACTCATAGGTTTTTTTCCTCCCGCGTTTTGTTCATATTTTTTATGAATTAATATTATTAATATTTAAAGAAAAGAACGTTTTAGTGTTAAATATTAATAAACCTGTTCAAATATTCAAATACTCTAAATCTTGCTTATCATTCTTTCAACAATCACTGTCTAAAACTGTGAATCTATATGATTGTTAAACAATATACAATGATATTGTTGACAAGCAAGATAATTAATACAACCAAATTATTATTATCATGTATATCTACAACAATGCATTTTAATGAAATAATTAAAGGATAGTAGATTTATTTACAGAAATATATAATCATTGAATATAAATGTTACTTCATATTCTGTAATCGTAAATTTTATTATTCTATTCGTAAGATTAGAATAGAAAAAAAAAAACTATAAAGGAATTGATATTTTTATATTACTTTTCCTTGTGTTCCAATATCTTTAGTAATTACATAATTCCCTATGTTTTACCCACGTCCTAATACATGTTTATCCATCAATCATTCTATATCATCTGTTTTATATCATTGTATAATTAATCATTTCTAATTGTAATTTATAAACTTTAGATTATAATACCGTTATACTCTGAATATTTAACTGTATAGAAAATAAAATTTTAACTATTGTATATAAATACTTTTTTCATTTGTAATAATTCCAATATTTCAATATTTCTTAATATCAATAATTAATTTATATATAATTGAGATAACTATTGTAATTGTTCAAAATTAAATCAGATATTCATTAAATTTTTATGAAAATAGAAATTATATCTATGCATACGCAACGTCTTAATTAATGTCTGAATAAAAACATTTCTAGTATATATTTTGCAATGATAACGATACATTAATATAAATAAAGTTACAAATTAAAAATATTTAAAATAGCTCTAACAAAATTTTTTTTTTATAAGTAATTAAAATATATATATATATATATTTAAAGTAATATACCAATCAGTTTAATTGGAGTAAACTGCGATCCAAACAAAGTTTTCCGCACATAAACAAAATTTTTTATATACCATTTAAAACAATTAATTATATTATACGACGACAATAAAATTAATTTGATGAATTTTTCTTAAAACTTTACGAAATCGCACATAATGTCGACAAATATTTCTAACCTCACTATCTTCTTTGCTTAATCTATGATCATCTACGATATCTCTAATTTCAGTCTATAGATGACACCAGGGGTTCCAAGAAGACAGCTTTAAAATGTTTCTTACCGACCGATGTACAAATAAACGATTAAAACCTGCTTGATTTGCTTCCTGTATTTATACCATACGTTAGTGCCATCTGGTGAGTAATTCACGAAGAAACTTCCGCGCAGGGACTATGACATCCCCCACCCCTAAACCCTCAGCAGTCAGCAAAGCGCGGGCTACAGTTCAAGTTGCATTTTAGATGCGAACGAATGCACATCGTTTTCGGTTTACGGGGATGAACTGCGTTTCGTGAATATCGAAGATACTTATCGGAAAGGTTTCAGCGGGTTGTGTCCATTGTGATCGTCCGATTTTCAAGTCTAAGCTGGTGTTTTTAGGTGAGTTTTTCGTTTTCCCTTTCTGTTCTTTTTTTTCTTTTCTTTTTTCTTTTCTTTTTTTCTTTTGTTAATAAAATATAAAAATTGTTCAAATATATTCTCTATATTATTTCTCAATGGACATTCTTAAAACACTAATCTCATTGAAAATATATCACAGAGAATTTATTTTTCAAATAGAGTTTAATGAATTTTGAAAAAGATTTTCTGTGATTTCTTTCAAAAATGCAAACGTCTCGAATCAAATGTGAAGTTAGCTAAACGTTTGATTTATATCAAGGAATAAAAATCGATCTATATATATATATGTTATATATCTACGTATTATGTATATATACTCGAATTATTTGAAAAATATATCTATATTTGTTTTTTTTTTTTTTTTTTTTTTTTGTATATCATAAATCAACTTAGAAATGTATGCATATGCACGTGCATCTTTCGCAAGATGTCATGCGTGGATTTATCGGACCATTTTCGTTACAATTGATGAAACTAATAGTGACATATACATTCGATTTATTCCTATCATAACAAGAGTGCAGTGTTTATTAATATTTAAAATATCAAACTAGTTTTCATGGTCGAATGACTATGACTATGAATATTTGTGTGTGTGTCTTTCTCTGTGTGTGTGTGTGTGTGTATAGATTTGGTGATTAAAGTTTAAATATTTTTAAGTTTTATCAATTAAAAGCAGAGAAAAAATCGTATTTATCGAATTCTGATTAAAAGAAAAAGAAAAGAAAAAAAAACATTTTATTTATAGATACACGTGTATGCGTTCGTAAAGATTTAATTAATAAAAATTAATCTATATAGATATTTTTTTTTTTTTTTATTTCGATTAACTAAAATTTTACAAACAAAAACGTATCAAATTTTATCTTTGTCGAATTTTGAAAACAACAAAAGTGCTTTATACGTGCATATATATGTACGTGTACGTGTTAGTAAAGATTTAGTAAATAAAAATTGATAATCTTTTTTTTTTCTTTTTTTTGTGGATTAACCATCCATAAAAATTATAAAAGAAAGAAAAAGAAGGAAAAAAAAGAAAGGTGAAAAAAAAAATAATAAAACAGAAAAAGAAATAAAATGCATTACATACGCGGATTTCCAAAAACGAATTCTCGTATTTAACGTTTACCGCGTGACATTAATAAATATAAAAGCGCACAACGTCTCTCTATGTGACATACATCGATACATTAATATCCTTACGTCACGTAAACGATCAGAGAGTATTGTCAAACGAGGTGTGCGTGAAACATATCGTGCTAGTGGCCCGATGATAACTATCGTCCCCATTTTTATCACAACTGGTAGCGTATTAAAAATCGTTGAATTTCGTGACGGGTATACATTTTAAAGAGGGGGAGAGAGAGAGAGAGAGAGAAAGAGAGAGAATGAATGAATGAGAGAGAGAGAGAGAGAGTGAGAGAGAAGGTGCGGAGACCAAACCGGATATATTATCCTACGTGGTAATATAAACTGTGCGAACGCACATAGCACGAAGAAGAGTATCCTCTTTCGTGATATTTCGTCCTTTTATTTCTTTTTTCTTTTTTTTTTTTTTTTTTTCTTCTTTCGTATTTTTATACATCGTCCACGAATCTTTTTTTCATTTTCTTTTTCTTTTTTCTTTTTTTTTAACTTTTTTCATTTTCTTTTCTTTTTTTTTCTTTTTTTTTTTTTTTCATCTCCTTTCCTCTTTTTTGCACCGGTGTTTTATCTACGTGAAATTTCTCTTAGCTTTTTCCAGCAATCCTTTTTTCTTTGTAATTTTTAATATATATATATATATTTTTTTCTTCTTTTCTTTTTTATCCATTTTTTCTTTTTTTTTTTTTTTTTTTCTTTTCTCCATCGTATTTTTCCTTTTTTTTTTTTTTCTTCTCATCAGATATATCCATGTCACTTTTCGTCGAGATAAAATTTCGTCGAGATATATTTTTGAATTCATTCTATAGCAAATATGTAATTAATATTTTAACTATTACATGGGAATAATTTTTATATATATTTATATTTTTTTATATATATATATGGGTATAGAATTTTTTCTAATTAAAAGTAAATTCTTTTCTTTTTATTTTTCCAAAAATGATATCTTCAGTATTTTGTTGAAATAAACAAATTTTTTTTTCTTTTTTTGTTTTTTATTTATGAGAACCACAAACTTTCTATTTATGAGAACCATAAAATTAGCAAAGAATTCATTAGTTTAAAACTAGTAAATAATTTATATTTTAATATTATATAAAAATTATTTCCATATAGGTAAATATATATATATATATATATATATATATATATATATATATACATTTTTTTTTTTAATCTTTTTTTACATACACATGTAAATACACTTGTTATCTTCTGGATAGGTATGTTTATATATATATATATATATATATATATATATATATATATATAAATATAGGTATGTGCGTGTATACAAGTTTTCCTATCAATTCTCTCCAAGCTGAAGGAATAATTTTGCAATTTCAAAGCAATCTCGTTTGCATATTCTACTCTGTTTAGATCGATGGGTATAATCAGGTATGTAGGTTATTTTAAACGATTACTTCATTCGCTGGATAATATTCGAAGCGTTTGATTTTTCTTTTCTCCTGTCTTTCTATATATATTTGTCTGTCTCTCTCTTTTTCTCTGTCTCTCTTTTTATTCGTTAGATTACGTCATGTGATCGTGCCACGTTCCAATTGGTATTGCTAATTATGAGTAATTATCGTATTTTTCATACAATTATAAATGAAATAAATGAAAATAATGATTATTATTAATAATATAAAATTCTTCTTCTTCTCTTTCTTTTTCTTTTTTCTTTTTCTTTTTTTCTTTTTATTTCTCGTAACATTGCAATTAAAATACTTATCGAATATCGATTGACTAATTTCAAACGTTCTGATTGGTTACGTACGGATGTACTTATTTAATTGCTAACAATATTTTGTTTTAATTTTTGTCCGAAGTAGCGCTGTTGTATCGATCCCAGTTGCGGCAATTTTATTATACGGAAATCATAAAAGATTTTTTGTAAATTCGATCGACAAGATTACGGAAAGTTTTACGAAAGTTGTTATCTCTTTTTTCTTTTTTCTTTTTTTTTTTTTTTTTTTTTTTTATCTCTATCTTTATCGAATAGATGTATTTTAAGGTATTTACGCAAGTTCCTCTTTTTTCTTTTCTTTTCTTTTCTTTTCTTTTTAATGTAATATAATACACGTTCGAAAGTAAATACGTACGTATTATTCGATTGTTTAAGTTTTGAGAGAGAAAAAGAAATAAGGTTAGAAAGATTTCATTGATAATAATTTTATCGTTGATAATGTTGTTTAAGAATCTTCATCATGTTTTCATCGAAATACATTTATTTATTTATGTTAATAGAATATGAGACCTGCGTATATATGTATGTGTGTGTACGTTAGTGAGAGTTTCTCGAATGTTTATGTATAAAATTTCAATATTCGAAATCAGTTAGATGGATTGTCATTTTTTAACGTTAAAAAAAAATATATATATATACCTTTTTCACGGGATACATTTTCACTTGCATACATATATAAATGTGAGTCATTAGAAAACTCGTTTATAAAACTAATTAAAATTAATTCGTCATTTTGTCAACGTTAAAAATTATTCATATTTACTTTATTACTTTCTATTAGATATTAAATAATTTTTTTTCTTTTTTTACAATAGAATTATATTAAATAATTAAATAAACTATTGCATGATATTAAATTGATAATTATTAAATTGATAAATATATATAAATATCATCTATTTTGACTAACGTATTTCACGTCGTTATTATTTTTTGATTGCGTAAGAAATAAATGGCCGCTGATAGGATGATTCGCGTATTCGCGTTGAAGTAAACGCCGTAGTTAATACTTGGATATGTTAGAACAAGTTACGCAACGATCACGTAAGAGTGCGAAAAAAAAAAAGAAAAAGAAAAAAAAAGAAAAAGAAAAGGGGAAGAAGTTTTCTCTCGCAAGAAATCTTTAACGGTATTGTTCGCTCGATTTACGTTCGATTTTGGTCAAGAGCCAACTGATGTTTCGAGTGAAGTGTTACTTGCTTTCAAAGTTTCGACAGGAAAGAAGAAAATCAAGGGAACTTCCGATGGATGATGATTTCTTCGTTCAAAATGTTACGATCAATAATAAGAAAAAAAAAAAAAGAAAGAAAGAAAGAAAGAAAACAAAACGATTTATCCGAAACCAATCGTCGTCTCTATTTATCGAAAGGTAACATTTTAATCAATAAACATTTATATTTATTCACTTTTCTCTTCTTTATGAATTATTTATTTATTTATTTATTTATTTATTTTTCCTTTTTATGGTAATTCTTTCTGTATATCGTATGGACTACTTCTTTTCTCAGGCGTGTATTTTAAGTGCTTTCTTAGGTTCATTGCGTGCTACACTCGCATCGGTAGCGTAGTAATACATTATTCGTAAAAGGTATAATTACCAATATACTGGATTTAGTATTCTATCGATGTGTCTATGTGTATAGGTTAACTGGAAAAATGTTCGAAGATGTTAGACGGAAATCATGAATTTTTATTATTTTATAATGATTGAAAGTGATGCTAATGTGAAATCCATATCTGTTTTTTTATTTTATTTTTTTTTATTTTTTTGTTCTTTTTTATATTTTTTTTATTAATCGTTTCTATGGATATATTATTGGGAATGGTGTTTAATAAACAATATAAGAATTTTTCATAGTTTATATATATATATATATGTATACATATATATATACATATATATATATATATATATATATATATATATATATATATAATAGATAGTATTAAGATGGTTAATAAGTATAATATCGAAATTTTTAGTGAAATATAATATATTCGAAGAGTTTTTAGGTTATGTTACTTTCGAAATTATCTAATTAAAATATTTTATTTCTATTATATTTCCTTTTATATAGACTATAAATATTTTCATTAAGTTATTTTATTATATAAATTATATATATATACATATATTATATACATTTATACATGCAATATAATTATACATATATATATATATATATATGTATATATATTTATTTATTTATTTTTTTATTTATTTATTTTTATACATATATACCGTCTAATACGTTAGAAATAGATAAGAAGTTTTTTTTTGAAATAAGGTGTGCATCATAGATAGTCGGAACGTAACAATATATACATATCCATATACATATATAGATATAGTTAGAAGGTAGTCTAGCTTTCAACTTTATCTAGTCTGCATACACGTACCAAAATTATTCTACCGACGAAAAGTTCGCCGGAAGTTTCTCTCAGTCAGTCGTCGGAGCACGGTGTACTGTAACTTACATTTCTCTCTAAGAGAAAGAGTAACAAG